GTCGCACACCGACCGTCGTCTTTCCCGTCGTCCTTACTTCGATTCGACGATCAAGGAGCAACAACCACCAGAAGCTCGACAGTCATTAATTGTGGGGTTGGATTTGAAAAGTGGATAAAACTCAAGGACTTGACTGCAATTTCAGTTATTTTGATAATATTTTAATTAGGTCCATTGGGCCAAATATGTAATTTATAAAAATATATAAAATATTGTTTTATATTTTTTATACATATATATAAATATATATATATATATATATTATCTATATTATACCAAAAAATAATATAAAATATTAAATACAAATATTTATATACTAAATACTAAATAAAATAAAAAATAATATTTTTATATGCTAAATATTTAAATTACACATTATTATTTAAATAATATAAAATAATATTTATATACTAAATATTTAAATTACACATTATAATTATATAGATTTTTCTTACCTACATAACAAAACTTATCTCCCCAATTCAAGAACAAAAGGTCGAGATCCTTTTCTCAATCTCATAATTACCACAGTCGCCGAAAAAAGAAAACCCCAACCCTGCGTCTCCGGACGAACCTGACGACGAGGATTTTCTTGGCGACAGCGAGGCAAAAACAAACAGATAGAGAGAGAGAAGGATAACTGACGACTGCAAGGCGACAACGGGATAGACAGAGCAAAACCTGATGAGGCAGGGACGGAGAGGCGAGAGACGGAAAGGCTACGATAGGAAATTTTGAGGCATAAGCCCAGGAGAAATTCTAGAGAGGTATTAAAATTGATTGTTAATCCTGGATCTTTGATTGTTATCGAATGTTGTGTTGTATATGTAATCTGAAATTTTTCTCAACATTTTCACCTTTCTATTCTTTGTCTAATATTGACAATTTGATTCTTATAATGATGATTCTATTATTGAAATCCATAACTCATTTGGGGAGTAGTGATTCGTTACACTTTAGCTTTTGACATTTTCTTTTAGCTTATCTTTACAAACGCTCTACTTACAATTTTTTGTCATGAGTTGTGCTTCACATGCAATGAATCACTTCAAGCAAAATGAGTAGAGCGAAAAATTGGGCTAGGAATAGGGAATGCAATAATGTTATGTTGGTGGCCCATTAATATTATTTAATTAATTAAAATAAGTGGTTTGACCCATAATTATTTTAATTAATTAAGGAGTCCTATTCCTAATCTTCTAAGGGTCCTACTGTAGCTCTGTATATATATCATTAAGCTCATGAGAAGATAAGAAAACAAACATATACAAACACGTCGTGCGTCCCCCCTACCCTCTCTCTCTCACACAGTTCTCATTCGAGCTTTATCTTTTTCTTGTTGCTCTATTGATTCAAGTTGAAAATGGGTGTTTGAGACATACAGTAAAAGATCTCGTGGTTTATTGAGATACATATATATAATCAACCCCGGAGATCAATCGGAGCCATAACC